TATATATTTATAGTCAAATTTTTAGATACTCTGTAAAATCGTTCTGTAGATGTTAAGTACATTAAGAGTCTTATCAAGATTAAACTTAATTTTTTTGACATAAATTTAAAAATATAATTTATTTAATTATTTAGATATTGAATTTATGTGAATTTTTCTATATATTCTCATCTCATTCATGAAAAAGAAAACTACAAGGAATAATTATACGAATGACCACTTGTGAAAAAGAACAATATCATCATGTCACATTTGAAATGACAGTCCGTCGTACGTGATTTATTGATCACCGATAAAACGTCCTACTTTTTTCTATTGGTGGATGGAAAAAATCTAGAATAAAAGATACAACATGCGATGTTATAAAATAGTCATCATATCTTGCACGTAAAGTGTACCCTTCACTAAGCTAATTCTTAAATTATTATTATTTTCTACAGCAAATTTTCCATGAAATTGCCATTTGCACAATTGAAATCATTATTATTTTCCTAAAAATAACATGTCCTTTTAAATAATGGTATAAAATTAGCATAATTAATTAATTAATTTATCATATATCAAAACATAAAAAGATGGTAAGTATTTCGAGTTGATGCAGAATGGATAAACGACTAACTATATATTGCGGCGGCTATATGTGTACTCGAAACTTGAATAATAACTTCCCAGCATAGCATGTTTTGCGTGACGCGATAAACAAAGAACAGCTAATCGTGTAACCGAGTTGTTAGGGTTGTTGTATTGTGGTTAATAATAAATATTATGTCAGGTTTGCCACTATATATCTCCCGATATACGTCGCGCATCTTGCGAGTATCATGGTTAATAATAAATATTATGTCAGGTTTGCCACTATATATCTCCCGATATACGTCGCGCATCTTGCAATCTTCATAGCGTTCATTAGCGTGTTCGTGTGCAACCCGATATCTAACATTAAAATGTACAAACATTCGAGTTAAGTGCGCAACTAACCGCGCATGGAACGATCGTAACGCTCCGATAATGAACGCGCAATAATAATTACGTTGAGGGTGCTTGGATTATATTGTGGAATTTAATAGCCATATTATTATACGCAATTACCTTAAAAATGGAAATATTGAACAATCAATTCTAAGTGATTCTTATTTCAAAGTCGTCTTAATTAATTGATTTAAGATACTAGTACAGTTCTGATTGATTTATGACATCTTAAGACTATAATTAAAACAATCTTAAATATATAAGACTTTAATATGAATCTTAGATATAATCTCTCCCAAAAGATGATTACACTTATTTCTAAGCAATAATATTTACGATCTTAATTTAACAAAACATTATGTTATCGATAATATTTATCAATTTTATCCCATAAAAACTAATTGGCAAATTTCCCTTATTGATATTAAATTAATTTTATTAATTTATATAAGAATTGCAATTTTTTTAAGAATCTTATGTGTATGAAAATGTAAAATTGTAGGACATGCCGTTCTCCGGATTAGTGATGGAGAATGGAACATGGGTAGGAAAAGGCTATGCGTTTTATTTGCTCAAGCTGCTTAGTTCCAAATTAAATTTCACATATACGATCATACCTCCTGAGCAGCACGTGTTGGGCAACAGCAACGAAAGCGGAATATTAAATTTACTTTACGAGAGGG